AAGCTAAAGCTACGGATCAGCAGAAATAGCAAGCTAAAGCTACTCTAAAGTTTATTTTCTATCCATATTTTATATATAAAAACTATTTAAAGAAATAGCGAGCTTTAGCTTTATTTCATAGCAGCCATGAAATAAAGCTTTTCTTTAAAGGGTAAATACTAGGAATCGAACCTAGAGCCTATTAAACCACAATTAATCGTTCTACCATTGAACTACATCTACCTTATATTTTTTATCCTGCGGTGATTCGAACACCGACTGTAAATACCAAAAATTTATGATCTACCCATTAATCAACAGGATATTAATGCTTGCTATTTCATACAGCTAAAGCTATTAAATTTTATTATATAGCTTTATTGCATAGCAGTGCTTTATGAAATAGAGCTATATTGCATAGCCTTCATACAGCTATATGAAATAGCTATCTATTTTATTCATAAAGGACCTCCCTATTAAAATAGGGAGTGTTTTATTTCATAGAGCTTTATTGCATAACCTTCATAAAGCTACTCAAAATAGTATATAGGCTTCTATGAAATAAAACTAAAGCTCACTATTTATTTTTTCACGTTTATTTATTATAAAAACCAATAATTGTCATAGGTTAATATACAGGTAACACGACTTGAACGTGTATGATATTTCTATCCGCCGTACCTAAAACGACTTTGTCTGCCATTCCAACATACCTGTTTAATTAAATTGTTTCATTTATACTTTGTTTATACACTAAAGACATAGTATGTTATAAAAAGCTGCAATTTAGGACTTGCAGGATTCGAACCTACATTTTAATGATTAAAAGTCATATGCATTCACCATTATACTAAAGTCCCTTCCATTAAATAAAAGCTTAGCTTGCTATTTCATAAGCAAGCTAAAGCTTCTTATTTAAGGATTATTTATATTTTTTCATTTATAGTTTGCTGTAACCTCTGGCTGCTATGAAATAAAGCTACCGTGCTCATTTATAGCTATAGCTTTATGAAATAGCAAGCACTATTATTTGGATCTATTATACTATATAGTTCGTAATCTGTATTATTAACATGTCTATCGTCTGCGCATGAATTAAATACAATATTAAAGAACTAAAATTTTAAGTTAGTAGCTTTATTTTTTTTAGCTCGCTATTACATAAAGCAAGCTAAAGCAGGAAATACCCTTAATATTATCTTTTTGAAATGAAGGATTTAAAGACTTCTTCTTCAATTTTATTATATCATCCACCAATTTAGCCCTAGACTCATATAATGTACTGTAATTAAAGAATAGCTTTATTGCATAGCACTTACTTAGAGTAAGAATTAGATATTATAATTCCATGGTTATCTGAAAGAAGAATAGTACTCATTTGGTCATTTAATATTGCCATGCCAATAGAATAATCACAAATAGGTAGCCTTAGTTTTATTTCTGCTGCTCTGCATACTTCTGCAGTATTACGTAGAAGTATGCTACAGAAATAAAGCAGAAGTATGCCTGCATGAGCTAGAGACAAATCTGATACAGTTGGTATTATTTCCCTATTAGTACCAATATATTTATTCTGTATACGCACTTGAATATCTTCAAATTGAGTGCTTATGAAATAGCAAGCTAAAGCTAAAGCTATATAAAGAAGCAGCCGAATTTTTAAATGTAGGATTGTCTACGTTAGTGAAATATAAAAAATTAAATGTAGCTTTATTGCATAGCACTGATAAAAGAAAGATAATTAGTGCTAGCTACTATTTCATAAGAAATAAAGCTACTAATAAAAAGCACATGTAACTCAATCGGTAGAGTGAAATATTGAAGCTATTTTT